TCTTTCTCTATGGTGAAGTTTATTGCTGAATGGGCATCATTAAACTTGTTAAGGATATTCATTGCATCGTGCTCGTTTTTAATGGCCAGAAATGTATCATCCATATATCGACAGTAGAAATCCAAGTCACTAATTACTCGTTTCAGTGGTTCATTCTCTAACTTAGCGAGGAAAAAAACAGCTAGGATTGGGTCTAATGGGGAGCCCATAGCTACACCATCAATTTGTCTGTGATATTCCTTATTGAATAAGAAGTGAACGTTCATTGTACATCTTAAAATAAGTTCCTTCAAGGCGGATACAGAAATACTGATGTCTATGTTTCGTGTAGTAATCTCCTCACATATAAAATCCACTGTCTCCATTAACGGTACATTGGTGAACAAGGAGGATACATCAGAAGATATCATAAACTTGTCCCTCACATTAAGATCTCTTATTTTTCCAACAAATTCAAAACTGCCATTTACACTATGCTTTACCAACTCATTATGCAGAGGTTTCAGGAGCTTCACTAACCATTTTTCTGTGGCATGATATGGGGAATTACACATATATCTAACACTGGTCGAAGTGGCAAACCAATTTTGTGCACTTTTGGAAGTCCATATAATCTTGGTGTAATCGTGCCAGTAGGCTTTAGAGATTCATATAAACCTTCTATGATGCTACTTTGTTGTTTAAGTCTATTTAGTGACTCAATTAGTTGTTTCTCCACTTTTCTGTTGGATCGACGGAAGACGTGATTTTTTGAAATTTTCGATGATCACAGAGTATTCCATTCATCTTATCTATGTATTCAGTCTTATTCATTATTACTACTCCAGGGCCTTTATCAGGTTTCGAAATTATTATATTCTCATTATTTCGCAGCTTATCTAGGGCTTCCCTGTGTTTCTCGGTCAATGAGCTATTCAGTCTCCGTTTACTATTTACATATTTATAACAACAGTAGACGAGAGTTGACTAAAGACTTTCAACTGCCTCAGCTGATGAGGGTGTCAATCCTTCAGTTTGTGCATAAAAGTTTTCAAACTGGACTTACATATCCATCTTATTAATTCTAACGTGATTATTACAAAACCTAGTGCCTAGGGATAATACTTGCAAATCAGTGTCATCAAGAACAACATCAGAAAAATTATAAACATACCGACCAGGGTTTGGGGGAAATCGCATTTCTGGAGTTTTGCTTCCCAGGGTTTGTAATAATTTTTTGGTACGTTTCTTTTCCCTTATTTTACCAGAAACCTCATTCACATAATCCAGGAACTGTTTCTTCAAGTGCTCTGAGAGCTAGCCTACAGCACAAAACCTTTTTGTTACATTATTTGTTAATTCCGTGATGCATGTGTATCTGAAGTACAGCGAAAGGCTCAGTGAAGCGAGAAATTATTTCAACTTCATTCACGAATGCATTTACAGAAACCAGTATCCAGAGTCCTGTTGGAAGTCTTTAAGACGTTGCAGAGTTCGACCGATTAGTAAGACACTCAAGAGTCACGCAATGAATTAGATCGACTCACTCAAATCATGCATCATGGAATTAACAAATGATGTAACAGAAAGGTTTTATGCTGTAGGCGAGATCACAGGGCACCTGGAGGAACAGTTCCTGGAGGAAACTCCGAAGAATCAGCTCAGTGACCTAGGAAATGACACCACCGTCTGGTTCAGAAATTTCCCATTTACATGGCTCACCAAACATCCACAAAGAACAGGTAGTCTATGTCAATCCTTTACATGTTATGATCACCACCATCATCCCGTAGCATCATGGCTAGTAGGTACTTAACAAACTGGGAGAAAGCTAATCGCCAAACACTCCTTAAAGGAGGATACGTTTCAATTCGTGGATCCAATAAGTCAAATCAATGTATCTGGCTTAACTGTGGCTCCGTTGGATTGGGCCTATCCACTATTCACTAACGTCTCCTCAACCGAAGCTGTATGCCACCTATGTGAGTTGATTGATTCAAACTATGTAAACTATGTTTGTATACCAACGAGGCACATCAAGTAATTAATCCTGAGACGCACACTAAATGTTCACTTCTGAATATCTGGGAAATGTCATTAAAGACTTGATAGAATCGATGATTCCTGAGTACTGTGTTGATATTATTTGGTTGTCTCAAGCACTTATTCGAGTCTAATGAAAGTAGTAAAATTAGAATAACTGAAAGTTAGTGGAATATGATGAATAAATACTAACGGTGGTCTGCTCCTAGTCGTGCTGATTATTATAACGTCAATGTTAACAGTGGCATTTAAAGTTATCCGTTGTATTCCGACTAATCTTATCTTATCTTATCTTAACTTGTCCTTCCAGCTCGCTCCTACATATACCCGAAGAGATCGGAATCCATGTGAAGAAGCCTAGCTAATGTATTCACAAGAATTTACCACAGACACTCTAATCAACTTGGTCACTATCACTTCATTGTCAAGATCTAACAGTTTCGCCTTTACCCACTCCCACTCCCACTCCCACACCCGCCAAAAATCCTGCATCCCTTACTAGCTATTATTGTTGTTGTTTCACCTACCTTCAGAATTTGTTGCACAAGTTGTCTTCTTCATCTTATTCCACATTCAATGATTCATGGCGTACCTCGAGTCGAATATCCTCAAATATTCGAAGTTTACAACAGGGTGGATATCAGTGACCTGAATGAAATCTTACAGATAGATATTCGACAACACTCAGTCATATCCGAAATCCAAGCGGAATCAAAACGTGAATTAGCCTCCCTAGATATCCGCCTCACAAGACGATCACACGGAAGCCTACAAAGGCCAATCTACCATAACCCAAATTGGAATGGACAGCCCACAGTCTAACACAGTTTTGTCCCGATGGGCAAACAAATAGCTCATTGCCTCTCTTGCCACGAGAATCTACCATATGTGCACTGGAGATGCACTGAATTGAATAGGGAGAAATTGGAATCCTTCAGAAGAACAAACTCTATTCAAAACTGGATATCCGACCTCCTTCAATGCCCTCCCCTCAATAAACATCTAAATAGAAAGGCCGATACTCCTCGAGAGCTGGATTTGTCGAAGAAACAATAACAGCTAGTTGTAAATCTGAAATTCAAGCCAGATACAGTTAGTCAGATCCTCCGAAGCCGTCTGGAGAGAGAAATTCGTAGAACCTTCTTCTCTGCATCTCTACGTCTCATCCCACCACAACCACAACCACAACCACAACCACCCCACACCCACCTTCCTCTACACATGCTATTATTCATTCACAAAAACCTCAAAGACAAGACCCCATTGTTCACAACTTCAAGGTGTATTCACCAATTCACCTGCTCCTCGGGATCTCATTACATACATACACCGCCGTATCAGCCACACACAGTCTAGACGTTCCCACCAACACCTACCAGCATGGTTGTCAAAAGGAGAATGTGGAGCTGTCAACACCTCAACTCTCGAGCATATCACTAATTCCCGTCATCAAGAAGAGACTCCTTTCAAAGTCATACACAAAGTACAACGTCAACAAGTCCTTGTTCTAAAGGATTTATTCCGCCTACATCTTCTTCATTCAGCTGACGCCTTAGCAATCCTTAGGGAGAAACCTGAACTTTGTCTTCACAAACGTTTCATCCAGCCAGCTCTTTTACTACTATAGCCTGACTAGTATTTCCTTACTTCCCTCATTCCTTCTTCGTCTTCTGAATAACTAGCTGTTTAATAACATCTTTGCAGGCCGTTTCATGTCTCTATTCTACAACTCATTCTCAACCTTCCCTTCTCTTGTCTCTTATCAACTATTAATTCTGAATGATTATTCATCACTCAACCAATTAGTTGTCAACCCTTTTGATTAAGCACGACTACTCCTAGTCTTTCAAACATACTTATTGCTCATTCACTCTGACTTGCTTCATCGCTCGCTCAAAGTTACCTTTGACCTCTGTTGTCAACCTATCAATCAATCAATGAATCTATGTTGTATATGCATAAACAACACCCTACACAAACCTACAGCCTTGAAGTGACTCTACGAAAAGTGATCTCTTTACTGACAAGGCATGTCTTCTTCTTAATATTAAAAAAAAAAGTTAGTAGAAAGAGTTATTCCAGATGAGATGAGATGAGATGAGATGAGATCACGCCATGAGACCAGGTGAGGTGATATCAGACCGGGAGGATGACGCCTGCCCAAGGCGACTCTCCACATGAACCAACCACAATTGAGATTGATTATTATTGGTGTGTCGAAAATCAAGGTGAATAATTAATTATTATGGCTGTTATCACATGCATCCCCTTGACAAAGTGTTCTGATGAATGGTGATTGGATGAACGATGCAGACGATCAGACCAATCAGTGAGCAGCTGAAATCAAGCATGTCAGTTTAGCTATATAAGTGTGGAGATGTGCCGGTATGCGATTAATTTGACGTGACGTGACGTGAGGTGACTGTACTTGTCGACATCGGTTGTCAGAAAGCATCACCATGGTAGGTCGTTGTTCTTGTTTATGTGTTATGCATTGTGATGGTGACTTGAGTTGCTTGGTTAGTTGGTTGATGTAGGTGGTCGTGTATGTATTGATGGTATGTAGTGTTATGTATTACCGACATTGACTGGTATTTGGCTATCCCGGTAATGACGACGAGTAGTAGTAGTAGTAGGAGGAGGAGGAGGCTGTGTTGTTAGCTAGAATGTGAGGCAGGACTGATTTACTTGCAGGTGAGATGAGGTTCCACCTACAATACGGCGTGTTGTAGCTAATTATTCGATTGGTAATAATCTGGATGAGTGTGAGTTGTGGTTGTCTGTCGAGTAGGCGGAGGTAGGAGGTGAAATGTTATCAGATTAGGCGGGTGGTATACCGAAGGATTGCATGTATTGTCACGAGAAGTTGTATGAGACAGTATGTGAGATTCGTTTTGGTAGAGTTTTAAGTTGTAAGGTGTTGTAAATTTCTCCTTGGAGTGAGTTAATCACAGTTTGTTTGTTTGTTTGTTTTTCAGCGTGAATGCATTAGTCTCCATGTTGGTCAAGCGGGTGTCCAGATGGGAGATTCGTGTTGGGAGTTGTACTGTCTGGAGCACGGGATTGAGCCAGATGGGCGAGTGTTGGTTGACTCGACAATTTCGACGAGTGGAAGTGGAAATGACGCATTCGGTACATTCTTCAGTGAGACGGGTTCCGGTCACTATGTTCCACGTGCAGTGTTTGTTGATCTTGAACCGACGGTGGTTGATGGTTTACGCCATGGGAAGTACAAGCAGTTATTCCACCCGGAGCAGATGATTACTGGCAAGGAGGATGCGGCGAATAACTATGCGCGTGGCCACTACACGGTGGGCAAGGAGCTAGTGGACGAAGTGTTGGATCGGATACGAAAGCTGTCGGAGAGATGCACTGGTCTTCAGGGCTTCCTCATATTCCATTCGTTTGGAGGTGGTACTGGTTCAGGTTTTACCTCGCTACTGATGGAACGGTTGTCGGTGGATTTTGCGAAGAAGGCGAAACTGGAGTTCGCAGTATATCCCGCTCCACATATCTCTACAGCTGTCGTTGAGCCGTATAACTCAATCCTGACGACTCATACGACGTTGGAGCACTCAGATTGTGCTTTCATGGTGGACAACGAGGCGATTTACGAGATATGCCGTCGAAATCTGACCATTGATCGCCCATCATACACGAACTTGAATCGTCTGATTGGCCAAGTGGTGAGCTCGATAACAGCTTCACTTCGATTCAGTGGCGCGTTGAATGTGGATTTGAACGAGTTCCAGACGAACCTTGTACCTTATCCACGTATTCATTTCCCGTTGACGACATATGCACCGGTCATCTCAGCTGAGAAGGCATTCCACGAGCAGCTGAGTGTCTCAGAGATCACGAACTCGTGCTTTGAGCCAGTGAATCAGATGGTGAAGTGTGATCCACGGAATGGGAAGTATATGTCGTGTTGCTTGTTGTATCGTGGTGACGTTGTTCCGAAGGATGTGAATTCAGCGATAGCGAGTATCAAGACCCGGAAGTGTATTCAATTTGTGGATTGGTGCCCTACAGGTTTCAAGGTGGGCATCAATTATCAGCCGCCTACGGTTGTTCCTGGTGGTGATTTGGCTAAGGTGAAACGTGCTGTCTGTATGTTGAGCAATACAACGGCGATATCTGAAGCGTGGTCACGTTTGAACCGGAAATTCGATTTGATGTATTCGAAACGGGCTTTCGTGCACTGGTATGTTGGTGAAGGTATGGAGGAGGGAGAATTTTCGGAGGCGCGAGAAGATTTGGCTGCTCTGGAGAGAGATTATGAAGAAGTGGCCAGTGAGACGAGTGTGGATGGGCAATCAGATGACGGTTATTGATGTAACATAAATCAATTTGGTTATTTCGATTGTAATGTAATTGATCAGAGTTTTCTTTTGTACCTATAAACAAACTTATTAAGCGACGAGCATGTCTTTTCTTGTTTTGATTTGCGTACTGTGTTCTGGTTAGTTGTATATATAGTGGATTATAGTTGATTGTGGTAGGCATAATTTAGTAGGACCGTTGGATCGGGTGTGAAATTGGCGTTCGTGTAAGTGTCCGCGTGATAATGTTTGTCTCGTCTGAGCTCGAGTATGATTATGAATTGAGACGTGTTAGGGTTTGTGTTGCTGTTTATCCGTTCTAGAACCAACTCGTAATCGATTGAAGTGGTTGGTTGGTTGGTTGTGAATACATGATTAGCCTATATGTGTAATTGATTAATAGAGCGTGGAATTAGGTGTGGTCGATTAGGAGGGACATTTGTGACGATGGGCTTGTTTTGTGAGTCGTGTCAATTGAAGGTGTGTGTGGGGGTGGTGAAGTAAGTGTTGAGTGGTTGGAGCGTCCAGCGTTGTGTTTTCGTGCTGTAGGTTACGGTTGTTTCGTATGGATGAAGTGGTGATTTGAGTTGTTTGACGTAGAATTAATAATAATAGTGGTTGGCCTTACTCCGAAATAGTCCTGATGCCTTGTTGAATTTCCCACATTTGGTGCAGTATTTCATCTAATTTACCCGACAGCGGGGGAAACAGAAATATGAAGTAACATTACTGAACTGATGATCGCGTTCCCTGTTTTAGGTACCATAGTTCCCTCCGATGACGATTAAGATATCTCCGATATCCACACTCTTGTAAACTTCGAATATTTGAGGATATTCGACTCGAGGTACGCCATGAATCATTGAATGTGGAATAAGATGAAGAAGACAACTTGTGCAACAAATTCTGAGGGTAGGTGAAACAACAACAATAATAGCTAGTAAGGGATGTAGGATTTTTGGCGGGTGTGGGAGTGGGAGTGGGTAAAGGCGAAACTGTTAGATCTTGACAATGAAGTGATAGTGACCAAGTTGATTAGAGTGTCTGTGGTAAATTCTTGTGAATACATTAGCTAGGCTTCTTCACATGGATTCCGATCTCTTCGGGTATATGTAGGAGCGAGCTGGAAGGACAAGTTAAGATAAGATAAGATTAGTCGGAATACAACGGATAACTTTAAATGCCACTGTTAACATTGACGTTATAATAATCAGCACGACTAGGAGCAGACCACCGTTAGTATTCATCATATTCCACTAACTTTCAGTTATTCTAATTTTACTACTTTCATTAGACTCGAATAAGTGCTTGAGACAACCAAATAATATCAACACAGTACTCAGGAATCATCGATTCTATCAAGTATTTAATGACATTTCCCAGATATTCAGAAGTGAACATTTAGTGTGCGTCTCAGGATTAATTACTTGATGTGCCTCGTTGGTATACAAACATAGTTTACATAGTTTGAATCAATCAACTCACATAGGTGGCATACAGCTTCGGTTGAGGAGACGTTAGTGAATAGTGGATAGGCCCAATCCAACGGAGCCACAGTTAAGCCAGATACATTGATTTGACTTATTGGATCCACGAATTGAAACGTATCCTCCTTTAAGGAGTGTTTGGCGATTAGCTTTCTCCCTGGGAAGGTTGTTAAGTACCTACTAGCCATGATGCTACGGGATGATGGTGGTGATCATAACATGTAAAGGATTGACATAGACTACCTGTTCTTTGTGGATGTTTGGTGAGCCATGTAAATGGGAAATTTCTGAACCAGACGGTGGTATCATTTCCTAGGTCAGTGAGCCGAATTTTCGGTCCTCTTTCATCTTCAAAACTTGCATAAATGGTCTTCTTCATTTCACTGGATATGTGTGTAATCTACCATGAGATGTTCATGCATACCGTCGCCTACACATGCTGTTCAACTGGAATTGACGCATCCTAACAGCTGGATATTACTTACACAAAGACACTACACTGGTGTTGTCAATATGAATAACTCTTCAACAACTGTGTGTATAGACATCTAACTGTAGGGCGAAATGTGTCAGTTGTCGGAATGAGTATTCTTCGATCCATCATCTCTGAGTAAACCACGAGTATTCATTCTTTCGCTAATCCCCTATATAAGAAGGGACTATACAGAATTCGTTTTGACTGGATTCTTAGGCTTTAGTAACAAGTTATAACACAATCAAAATATCTGTAAATTAATGACGACTAATAAGAATAGAATGAATGACTCAGGAGAATTACGCCAATCACAAACAAGTAAGTTATTAGAGTTAGCCAGAATTGTGAAGATTAGCAAAGTCGAGAGATGGTTACAAGGGGAGGAAAACAATCTTTCGATCTCATTAATTTTTACAATTCTGACTAATTCTATATATTAACTTGGTTGTATTTTACGCAATGCTTCTGAGTCACCCTGTAATTTTTCTCAGTCATCATTATTATTTTTGTAGAATTCTTGACTATGTAAGAACTTGTGACTAACGCCTAGGAATAAACGTGTCTTGAATTCCGTAATTAATTTTCAGCCCAGCTCCTTCAACACCTGGATATATTGTTACTAGAATTTGTTAGTAGTTCCGGTTAGACCACGGATTGATATCAGATGGAGAAGCATTGGGAACCAGGGAGCTCAGCCAGACAGCTGTTTCATGCTAGTTTGGGAATCACCGACTGTACACGCCGACTGGGTTTCGAAGACACGACCTTCCAGTTACAAGGCCAGAGAACTCGTATACCATTCAGCCACTGGGAACTGTTTCAATGGACATTGAGTTCCAACTTCTCCCAATTCGTGATGAGTTTATCCCGACCACCAACCCATGTCATCGGTGGGAACTCGATCGTCACTCGTCAATGGATGGACCCCACTGGTCACGAATTCTCACTACAACTTCGTCTTGTAGCCAGTCACCAACAACCATCACATTAACTCGATTATGGGGAAGATTTTTTTATTTTAATATTTGTGTAAAGCTTGGTCACTGTGGTATTACGTAATTCTACTCCAAATCTAGACTAACAAATTCTTGTGAACTAAAACATGGAGTAGGGAATTGGAAATTAGATAACGAAGGAAAAGTGGTTAGTTAGTTAGTTAGTTAGTTTTGACTCTGTCAGTTTATTTACACGTTCACCAATAAATATGGCTATAGAGGCAGTCAGAAACGAACTCATTTGTGATGAACAACTCGAACTTAGAAGGAAATTGCCACATGAGGACATAATTGTGTGAGTGCAACTATGCCTGACTTCCACAATAGGTAAATAATTCCAGGGTAAAATATGCAAAGAATCTGAGGGAGTTCCCATGTGGTCACTAATATCACCGCTTGTGGAAGATATATTCATGGATAGGTGGGAAATCATAGCGGTTGAAACATTCAGCCCCACCCGTAAAGTATGGTGGAGGTATGTAGATGACATATTCACTGTACTTTGAACACAGGATATAGATAGATTTTTCGAATACATTAGCCTAAAGTTGGAGGCTAAATCGCGAAATGGTAGACGTTAGAATTTATGGGCTGGCCATTGAATCAGGTCCCAGTGGCTCGATTGTATACGAGTTCTCTGGCCTTGCGCAAAATTTTATACACCTTAATTTTATCTTATCTTAATATATAGTTATAATATTTACAATTTCAAACATTATGTATTGCCAATCTCTGTGAAGACTGAACTCCCATCGCTTGGCAACATGTCTAGCTTACCAGTGAATGTTTTGTTTTTCTGGTCAATTAAATCTTATACATTTAGCACCACAGTAAATTGCTTGACAGATGTTTAAGATGGTTAGGTCACTGTTGTCAATTATCCATGGTGATTGATGTTAGAATTGACTATTAGAGTAGTTTCAGTTCGCACATCAGGTTTGTTTATTCCCTAGTCCGTTAGGATATATTGCTGATAATATTGAATAAAACACACGCTTTTCAGCTACGTGATCAGTGTTCTTCACAAATTACCACTACTGGAGCAACAGAGAAATTATACAGTTGGGCTGTAAATAAATTGTTATCATATTCAAGTTATTTATATCTAATAAATAATTTAGAATTGTTCAGATTATGTTATGACTTTTATAACAGTCAGTTTATTTCATCAAATCTGGTTTGACTTCTCTAATTGTAACCGATATAATAGACGATAGTATTGCGAATTCTGCTGAACACATTTCTTTCACAGAGTTAGTAAAATTTGTTGCCGCTTATTTATGATTAATTGTTTTACGTTATTTTTAATCTTTCGCCTTAGCTTAAAATCTCTGTATTTGCAGCACGTCCGTAAAGTTCTTGACAGCTTTTTGAAACAGTGAAAGCACACTTGTCTTCGACCATTCCTCTCTCGTGTTTTTGTTTGCCAGTGGTATTGTTGTTAGCGTTATGATTCTGGCTGAAGCTGCTGAAGAAGACAGTAGTTTCCGTTTGTACGTGAATTGTGTATGTCTCTCAGTCTACTACACCTGACTGCCGCTCATATCCAAAAGAAACAACACTCCTCTTATTTGTGTTAAGGTCAGCAGTGTTCTTGGTAAATTGTAAAGAATGAGAGACACGGAATGTTCCAATGCATTTTCGATAAAAACTGCAATTTTATGTGGAGAAGCCTCATATAAGCAAAGTGGATCTACATATTTTTATAAGAGTAACCAGTTTCCTGTTTTAAGTAGTATCTAGCGTAAGCCCTGTTCCCTGTTCAATGAACACCACGTTGATATCCTAAACACAAGAAAGACGTGACATCTGGTAGATGGCTTATTGTCCTTGTATCAACCAAAGAAAAGTTTCCTTTGCGTGAAAATTCAACTGTAATAATAAACACTATTCCTTAGCTTATTTAAGATACAGAAATCAAGAACACACTACTTTCAGTAAGCTCCTCACACGAACTCCTCGATTTTGTACTGTTTAAGACTAAATACATTCCAGAGCGTATTTCATAAATAATTCCTAAGCTAAACATCTTAGCACAATTCATTGAAATGATGGATGCAACTGAATGGTCAGTAACTAGTATGTTTTAAAATATCGTAAATTGTATGAGTGAATGTCTTCGACAGAAATCGCTGTAGCGTTAAACATCTGACTTATACGTAGTCACTATGTGTAGGGAATACATTTTAATCTGCGTTGTTTAGATATTTTTAGTCGATAGGATTATTATTTTCTGATTGCTAGTTTAAATGGTCAAACTCTGGATTTAGTTTTGTGATTTCTGAGGATTTCAAAATTGGTGAATACATAGTAATTATAAAGTCCAAGGAAGGTTTCAAAGTTCAAACCTCTACGGTTGAGAATTACATGTCAGCAAAAATATCTCATAATGGGGTTTCTGTTGCTGCGACGTCAACCTTTTGGAAATATGTCGATGGAATAATTTCACATGTTTGTTGACTACTGGGTGAGTTATATAACACAAGAACTTTGCAGCATCACTGAAAGTCGCGTGATCGTCACTCCATCAACATACGTGACAAATGTTCCTTATTTTTGAGATGAGTTTCAAAGTGGAAAATACGAAATATCCAGAATGTCAAATCTCCTTTGGTTTATTCTGATCTTCTTCTGAATACGGACGGCCAATCTATTTATATAAAGAATAGGAAAATATCAAACTAAAAAGATTCAGGCAACTGACTATTCATGTTACCCCTTAAGCTCAGTTCTACACATAAATGTGCAATGGTTGTTAGTTTATTTTGCAAAGAGATCAGTTGGCGTAACACCCATTTCAAATGTAACTTCGACACCTCCCCCAAGCTACCATGTACTAGCGGTGAGCACTTCTTGATTATTCTTTTAATATCAGCGCTGATACATTTAAGTATCTCATCACACAATTAATATAATTACCAGAACGCATCGACATTTAATATAATATAATTAAAACAAGGCGTGAATTCTTAAGGAAATGGGGAAGAAAATTTCCGTGTTTATTTTCGAGTATGCGATAAATTTCATAACTCAACGTTTTTATTAATGAAACATATGTAATTCATCAAAAGACATACGAAAGTACCTCATTTATATAAACACATTTGAATTAAGAATATATTTAAAGTTGTCCGCAAATTAAACTCATTTGTTGATCTCTGCAAGTTATCGTCGCTGATTGAATTTTAGAAAATTTTTTGAATTGATTACACTTGAGGCTGGAGTCGACTTGTCAGACATAGCTAATTACAACCAATGGTAACAAAATATGATGTCCACATAGATGGAAAGCAGGAGGCTGAAAATATGTTTCTGAATAATCGCAAATTCAACAGAGGTTTCCGGCTTAAATGGATTGCATTGTTTAAGTATTCTGAGATTTTAAATCTGGTGAAATGATGATTTTGCTCAAGTGTTCTGAAATCCTGTGTGTCACTTTTATGCCGAGAAGGTATGTGAGTTATTTTCACTTGATGCATAATTCAGTGAGTTTAATATTGCAACATGTGAGATGTCCATTAGTGTCAGTTTGAGTCGGGAGAAATTTACACTACATGATTTGGGTTGACTGAGATATTAATCTAGTTTGAAAATGACTAGTCATACGCAGCAGATGTGTTGAAACAAATTTAAAGATCAGCTGTTTATTGTACTGGAGGCTGAACAAAATTTTGACTTCAGTTACTGAGCTCCTTCCTACCTTCCACGTTTCTTCGGTTATAGTCTGTTAGAGATCTACCTGAAAAAATATTAGAATGATATTTCAAGTGGAGTCATGCTTAACTTATTCTTTTGAAGGCTTGTCACTAACTGTGATTATTCCAGTGAAATCAATAATCAGTCAGTTGATGGGTCTTATCCCTCAGCTTTTAGGATGACGATTCATGTATTTTTTCCGTTGCCTTGTTGAATCCATTTATTACCTGTTTCAATTCTTAATCGTCAGTTACGTCTTGCAGCTAAGAAAATAATATTTCAAGCAATCGATTTGTCCACAGCTATTTCGACCTATGAAGTTGAACTGTCTCACCAGCTCTACCTGTAACTGGAAAGCTATTGACGAAGTCTACTTGTGCGGGTGATTATGAAATGGGTGTAGAAGTGTGCCAATGCAGAGTCGTCAATTATGCAAGTGGTATTGTAGCACCCATGAAGAATGAAAATTCAGCGGTTGAGAAAGAATATTGAGCCATAGTGTGATCGTTAGATAAGTGGAAAACTCATCTATTCTGTCAATGGTTCCTAATCGAGACTGATCAGAATCCTCAGCAATAATTGAAGGCAGCTCGAAATTCGTGTTGGAAATTTTCGTAGTGGATGTTATGCCCACATGGGTGCCATTTTATTATCTTGTACATCCTAAGGAAAAAAAATTTGACGGCGGATATCTTATCTAGACCAGGATACGAAGCTGGGTTTCTTACACTAAGTTGTACACAGAACCATTTTATTAGTGTGAATCGGTGTCTATAACCGCTTGTTCCGTGGATTCCATTCATGTCACTAAGCGATCTGTGGTCCACTGAATAAACAGAATTTTTATCACCTATGTCTGAGAGCAATCAATAGCTTCAGATGTTGACGAATTTACATACGGTTTCAAGAAGTCAGATATTGGGAGAATGAAAATGACACCATAATCTAATCGTCTGATGGAAAGAAATAACATTGTGAAGCAGCTAAAAGGGTTTTGATAAGAGAAAGGTAGTTGTTTGCTTGTTCTTTTGTTGACAGCTCTTCAAAAAACTCGGTATGACACAAAGTAGAAATCCGTCTGAAAAAAAGGCCCTAGAGATAATTTGCAGTATAAACACCACTGCAACTACGAAATTTCCTGAAGAGAACAATATTTAATAGTTGGTTTTCGAGTCATTTTATTCATTTGAAAGAGAGGATAAAGAGAAATGTGTTGAGGTCAGTTAACATCGGAGGTGAATACAGTTGGAGTGCAGCGGACAAGAATTTGTAAGTAATATGTCCCTGCATACGTCTGCCTGTATCTTTAAAAAAGGAGTTTGAGCGGAAGTAAACACAACTGTGATGTATATCAGTTATCAAGGGGAGTACAGGAACAGTAGCGTTAAGTTAAAGGTAATCATTTATGATTCATTTAACACATCACAAACACTGGAACTGGAATCATTCAGTTGACTATGAATCATATGAAACAAAAATGTTCCGTGCATAACTGAAATCCACATAATATCACTAAAGCTCACTATATTTGGTCGTTACTTATATTTCTGTTGCTAGAAATCGCGATCGACTCATCGAATCTATGTGTCTATCTTCGAACAAAGTGGTCGACCAGTTCATCTCTTCTTACACGTTAACAATGAAAACTAGGGTAATGTTTTTTGTCACATTATTCAAATGACGTAAATATCTCAAATCTTCATTGTTAGATTATTTGTATTTCTTTTAGAATTTGGTGAAATTCTAGAGAGTAGATGTTAGATTACTAAATGAACATTTTCAGTCGATTTAAGAAAGAATGTTCCTTTCACAATAGATTGACTGAATAGAATTAAGAAAATTTTCAAATTGTAAAACATAAACAATGAAATGGACGGCAGTGGCTTTGTTACAGCAGTCAAAGACGAGATTTCGCGATACAGTGAACTTGTTCAATAATTCCTGTCGAATTTCATAGAATCTTAATAATGTAAATCTGAATCATTTTCGCCATTTGAACGGTAACGCGATTTAATTTCCAACCAGTTATCATTGACGATTGAAATGAAGACTCACTAGGTGATAGAATTTTATATGTAAACTATTGATTATATATTCCCTGATATTGTGACTTTCCATTGACACAGCTTCGTTGAATATAGCAGTACTACTTTGGTGCTTGTTTTGAGCATTGACCAAAAGTCAGCGAAGACCATGTAAATAGGGCAGGATGCGCGTCCTAGATTATTCCTATAGTCGTCTCTGAAATCACGTTGCTAACTGACAAATTAAGTGATATTCTCTATTATGAGTCAAATTATTCTATTTATGCTTTTGATGCTCAGTATTCCAAAACATTCCAAACAAATGGCGGTTTGGCCAAACAGGGGTTGCTACTTATTTCAGCTATACTTTTTCAGTTCTCACTTTTCTTTGTCTACGATACTTCATCCGATTCTTAATCACATTCGGTTCACGTATATTCGATCTTGGTTTTCATATAAGATC